CCAGTAACAATGCATAGTCTTCTAATTAAATAAAGGAATTATGCACTCATATTTAGATATTATTTAGGAATTAGCACAAATACAAAACTTTATATATATTGTACCCATTCTAAAGTATGCCCTGCCAGGTTATGATGCTTATTTTCCTAATATCACTAGGCCATAGCATTCCTTGATCTTTAAAGGACCACTCTAGGCACCCAGACCACTTCAGCTTAATGAAGTGGTCTGGGTGCCAGGTCCTTCTAGGGTTAACCCATTTTTTCATAATTATGGCAGTTTCAGAGAAACTGCTATAATTATGAATGGGTTAAGCCTTCCCCCTAATCCTCTAGTGGCTGTCTCATTGACAGCCACTAAAAGCTTTCCCTATGAGACCCGGCGGATCTTGGCGGCGCAGTAGCGTGCCGCATTCAGCGATTGGAAGTAACACGGAGAGGAGGAGGAGAGCTCTCCGCCCAGCGCTGGAAAAAGGTAAGTTTTTACCCCTTTCCTCTCCCCAGAGCCGGGCGGGAGGGGGACCCTGAGGGTGGGGGCACCCTCAGGGCACTATAGTGCCAGGAAAACTAGTATGTTTTTCTGGCACTATAGTGGTCCTTTAACCCCTTCTCTCCCAGAAACAGATTTACTTTAATTTATTTAGTAAAACCAAATTTAGTCCATAAAGCCTCATTCACCCCCATTTATAGTCTAGGACTGAATGCCAGCCTGCAGTACAGTGATTTTCAAACCAGTTCTCATGGCCCAGCAACAGTTCAGGATTTAGGTGTTTCCCTTTTCTGTTCCAATAAAGACATTGACAAAACCTGGTCTGTTGCTGGGTAATGATCTGTACAGGAACATATTTTTCTGTCAGGTCACACCGGTCACACATTTAGTGCCTGCAAGTGTGCTGAAAATGTAATCTCTCCTCTCCTTCCAAACAGTAAAGGAGGTTTCAATGGTTCATACCATTCCTACAGTCTGGGGAGGAGGGGTAGGGGTGGAGTGAATTGACTCTACCATTTTTCTTTTAGCATTACATCAGCATTCCAGTGAATTATAAAGATTGTTATATCAGTTTTTTAGCACCTTTTATTTTAGAAATATATAATTTAACTATATTTAATTATATATACATACATATATATATACATATATATATGTATATATATATATATATAGGCATTATACTCAATGTCAATATTCCTTTTATCATTCTGTTGTAATTTTTAGTGAGCTGTTCTG